TTGGTATGAAATCCGCTCGTCAAATTAGGATGTTTACTATAACCGCGCCGGTCTATCGTGCTCTGTTTTCAACACTTCGTCGATCCCTACTGAATTTTCCACTTTTCTCCCTGTCCTTAGTTTTCAAATTATTTTACTCTCGGAACGCTGTTCAAGGCAACTGTGTTCACTGTACTGGCCGACGTCTTATTTGCCGCCTCTTACTTTGAGTACGATGGAAACTCGTTTCATATTTTCAGTATGGCTACTTTTTCTTTCACGACCCGACTGATAGGACCTGGTCATTACTACTGATTGGCTTCCGAAACCGCACATTGTTCTCACATCATGCTGGTTCGAAAGCAACCGCTCCTACTACTGCGCGCGTCCCGCCATTCGCTGACCGACCATGTGTTTGTGTCCACACCCCAGGGACTAGTTCTGTTCTACTGTCAAGTTGCACATCGGTTGCCAATCACCGCCTTATTCTGAGAAGCGATTTAGAACCAATCAGCAGCTCGCCTTTTTGTGAACCGCGCTGATGCAGCAGAGTCTTGGATGGACACCACTAAATTCTCTTTCATGTATTTCAGCATCCACAGTTTTATCTTTCGAAACCTTTTTCACTATTTTGTAACACGCGGTGGCGCAGGCACAGAAGTGTTCCTGCGTACCACTAATGGTCGCAGTTGTCTGTACATCCAATGTACATCTTGCGCGTAGGTTACGCAATCATCATACTGCCGTCGCTGATCACTCAGCCGTATTGCAGCTGACGTTTGGGTCATCGTTATCTTATCAGTTTTGCTTCACCTCACTCATTTGTGTTCGACCGGTCCGTCATGTGGTCTAAGCGCTTCTCGATTCATCGGTTGGTGGTCGATCGTTGTGGTCCAACTGCCATGCTGTTTGATCATCTCCATCCGTTCTGAGTCATTTTGTCACGAATTCGGCTCACGTAATTCCATGGGGCTGGGGGGTCATGCTCTCTCTGACGCTCATAGGATGTGAATACAACTCACTGTGTAAATTGATCTCCGGGTGCTAAGGAGCACGCTATATCCAAAAGCCATTAGTAATGGGGTTGAAGCAGTTCAGTTCAACTCGGATGATCAATTGCACTCCAACTAGCGAAGTCCAGTTGCCATGCTTCATCCACTGCCAAGAATACGGATGAGGAACGCGGGAACAAAGAAAGCAATAACCCAAAGATAACGTATCTTGAGTGAAGATGGATCGGAATATAACTACATTTACACGTTGAAAAGACAACTTTAAACATGACAAGCCCGTGAATGCAAGCACGTTATTGATTCCGCTACGGTGTCATGTCTGAGAAGGCTGCATGCAGCAACTCGACTAACTGTCGGTTCACTTCTTCATATTTCCAGTTGTGGACTTTGAAGTAATCGTTGTGCGTCTAGCTTACAATAGGTAGTCTCTTTCGAGATCTCAGCGGCGTTTTGCTCAACTCGTCATCCACTATCTCCGTGGATCTGCACCTAGCACCGGTTATCTTTGCCTGATTGGTTAAAACAAGAGCGAGACCGGTCATGGAGTAGTGCAGTATTAGGGCGAGAAATACTAACTGCTCTCTTCACGTTGGACACAGTCCCAGTGCTCGGAATGAACCAATCTCCAGCAGAGATTGTGTGTCGTAATCCGAAAGCACAGAACATATGTGTACCAAGTCACAAATTAATATCCTGACCGCAATGCCACACTGCGCTCAATATATCTCGGTAGTCTAATAGCCAAAGTGTCAGCCGTAAATCACTACGTCCGGCTTTCTGATTCTGTATCCGAATATCTGTCCAAGCAGCGTTGAGGGAGCGCAGCACACAAATTCTCCACTTCGGGTGTGGTCTCAGTACTCGAAACGGTAGAGGTTTGCTTCAAACCAATTCGTGGTCTCAATAGAGATTGCGCGTCGCAACCCATACACACGGTGGGCGCTATATCAAGCGCCCCCCGCAGAGTTCCCGTGCTTAGTACTCAAGGTGTCGGTCGTGAGCCAATACATCCAAGGTTCCACTCCTACCTCCGGCTATGTCCACTTGGTGAGCCCCAAAGGGGACGAGATTGATCGTGCAGTTCAATGCTGGGTGACTGCCACCGAAAACTTCTTCATACCTTGGTATATTATGGACCAATCGTTTTCGAGTTCATTCGAGCATGTGTAACATCGGTAAAGAAAGCCACCTGCGTTGCAACCGGTCGGAAGGCAAACAAGTGATCCTACCTGGCCAGTATATTTTATATTACTTTGAATACATCAAAATAACAGCATATTTTAATCAAGCTCAATTTTTGACACCACCAATCGATTATCATATGTCTTCGCTACTCACCCGGTGCTCACACGAATCACTGATAAAATTCTTGGTATACACTGATGTCCAAATTCGTGTGATCTCATTATTCTCAGCACGCAGTAACCATGCTTTGATCGCATGATTTGTAGTGCCCTACTAGTGAGAGTAGTATGTATGGAAACAAGGGGATGCATGAAATCAGGAAAGTCGTCGATGGCTGTAGACGAAGAACGCATGATACACTCATCAGCTGGATGAATGACGCGTACGTAGTGGAGAAGTCTACCTCCATCCTTACATGATTGGTGGCGCGAGTCGAATAGGTACCACGAGTGAAGTACACAAATTGGGCCTGAGTTTTCATGTTCGACTTGTCCTAGTATCTAGACGTAGGTTGTTGCAGTCACGGCTATTCCGCACCGCGTCACCTTCTCGACAAGGTAGCATTATCGCTATGCTGGTGTTATGCATCCCGCACTACTCTCGAGTGATACGAGATAGTACCTTGTAGAGACTGAAGCTGACTGCAGGGTTATCGAAACAGCCGGATGGAAATAGGGCTTGTTAGTTATAAGGACACCGCGCATGCAACGACTCTGTCCAATCGGATAATGCACCTGTCCGCTTAGTTTTCCGTGAAACCTCAACCCAACAGTAGGATTCGACTGGACACTGCGTCTGTCGTCAGCACGATTTGAGGCGGGGAGAGCGTTCAAGCTGAGTTACCTAAGATTCTGTTTCCATGTTCTCTTCGAGAGCAGACTGAATCCTCACAAGTAACACTATTAACCAAGGACCAACGGAATTCCAGTGCTTTCATTGTACACTGGTTGTACTCGTGTTTCGTGTACTGCAACACTGACTAAGCTTCTATTTTATGCACTATCCTGAACCGAGCGGCGGTTCTCTAGCGGCCTCGACAAATGCTTTGAAATGTCATGCACTATTGTCCTGCTTATAACAAATTTTCGAACAACCGTCTACGTACAGTAATCGTTCAACTGTTTCCAGTATCTTTGATAGCTAGTAGGACTGGTGATGAAATGTTCCGGTCATTCAGTAGCCTCTTACCTTTCAAATGTCCAATGCACTTATGGGTGCTCGCTCTACTGCGTCTATACCTCGCCTACCGTGCGTGAACTAAGCTTAAACTCAAAGGGAGCCTGGTTATCCACCTGCTCCAGCCACATCTTATATGCTAGAACTGTTTCACAGAAGGTTTCCGCGATCATTTCAGTGTCTACATGGAGGGAAAACATGTTTGTTCTACCAGCACTAGTTCCTTGATGGGAGATACTCTCATAGGCAATTACGATTCTCGTCACCTCTATGGATTCGCGCTACCCTGCAGTACCTCCAACTTGTGCGTAAGTGTCTGTGATTCCATGGCAGCGAAGTACCAGTACAAAGTGTTGTTTAACAACTGATAACCTCAAATCACCAATACTATGTCGCAGATGTCACAATAATTAAGTCAGTTTCGTGAGAGTATTCTTCACAGCCAGCCTCCGTCAGATAGCCTTCACCTTATGGCCACGGTAGAACCACTGTGATTATCTGCAGTCCGTGGAATTTGATGCTATGTTTGGTTCAGTGTGGACGACCACAGTCAGGTGTTTGAGCCAGCTTGCAGTGCTGCACAAAAATTGGTCTTTAAACTTGGTCCATTAGAATGCCAGACAAGCATCAGCAGTACACCGCACCGACGCTTCGCTGCCAGGTAACCACCATCGATCGCGCGTAGGCTAAGGATACTGGAGGGTCGCCCGGTCCCTTACGCATACTCGAACCTATAACAGCAGGGTTTTAAGGCAGACGCTGTGTCCTTTCCACCACCGGCCAGTTCACCACGCTCAGGTCCCGCAGAGCAGAACAAACATCACACGTAATGTCAACCGCGTAGAGCAAAACTGGTCCATCTCTGCTACACGGAACTCCTTTCACTTTGTTTCACAACGCATAGTAACAAAATGGATGAGCTGTTGTTTGTGCCACTTATCCCGAAGTTTTTGCAAGGCGAACTCCGAGTTTTGTCAGTTATGAGCAAAGCAGAATAGAGGATACGAGCAAAAGTTTCCTTGTGTGGCATGGATGAAGGAAAAGTAAGTCGATTTTAGAAGGATAGCGACTTATGCGTTTTTTGGACCACATTCCACTAATGTCTGGGGCGATTGCTGAGAACAATTGTCCAACGCATTCGGCATAGGGTGAAATATTTTTGCATATGTTCGAAATATGGTCATCTTTGCATACACACACGTCCCTATATGCAGTTGTAGTTCGTTCCAAGGACTACTGTATCTCATCAGGGAGAAGGTTGATCAGTTCTTGTGGATTGGTTTGCAAGAATAATGAGTACCTATTCATCGGCGTAGTCCGCTCAATTCACCCACACCACAGTTTCACGCAGACCTCGCGTCCAGAGTTCCCACATGTCCATGTCAATTCATTCGTCTTCCAACTTCATCCGGTCACTTTTCCACTAATTGACTTCTATGAGGTTGTTCTCGCCTGTCCATTGCTTTCCCCCTGAAGCACACATGCGCTTACTATTCGCGTGGCTGGAAACCAGAGCGTCAAGAGGCTCCCCTGCACTCCAATCACAACTACTTTCTGTTGGCTGACAATGGAACTACGGGGAAATTTGGCGGTGAATTGTGTCTCCGCCGACGTCTGGAGCAATATCTGGCCCAACAGCCCATCGATATGCGACGATATGGTAAGTGTCATTTGTGTGCTTTTTGAAATTCTCCATTTTGTGTTTTCTGCCCACATATGGCTTCTGGTGCACAGCAGCCAAACTGAAGTCTTTTTTCAGCCAAACACTGAAACTGTAATGCCGATTGTGAAAGTGACGCCAACCGTGAGTCAATTGCCAACGCACTGGTACTACTGTTTCCTATATGGTGGATGAAAGATGGCTTTTGCTTACCTTTCGAAGCCACAGCGGCTGTCATTCATCCCTTGTGCCCCAATGATGGTCGCGGGTTCTGCTCACTCGCTGAAAAGATTGTATACGCAGTCCTGACGAGGCCCGAAGGAACGAAACAGCCCTCTAGTGCTGCCAAACGTTCGGTGTTGTCAACTTGCAACACTGAGCCCGGCAACCGGTTCCGTACACGTTTGCACTTGTCAGATAGAGATAGCTATCCATCACTATTCCGGATGTGAAATAGCTAAGTGGCTCAGTCTATCTGGGATCAGTCTGCTCTAATCTCTAAACAAAGTTCATGTTTTCACAACTCTCTTTGATTGCCCAAACCAGCCTACGTGCTACTATCGGACGATGGTAGCTCAACAAGGGGTGCGGTGTCTCAGGGGGGCAACTATGTGTTCATCATCAACATTATACGCGTTAGCTAGAGGTGGGGACACAGCCATTGTGCCGCAATACACAAGAGAGGAGAAAAACATGCATTATATGTACACTAGCTGAGCCAGTAGTACAAGATAGACATCATTCTGAGGAGCTGTTGTGTCGTAAAATGGTTTTATTATGCATTAGAAATGATATCGCGATTGGAGTGGGAAGGACAGAGGAACTCACAACACAAACGCCATTAAGGTCGGCTCCTGGCTACGACAACAAGTGTATCCAGCCAAACTCTGTGCTTTGCTTGTTGGAAATTCGCATGCAGTGGAGGATCACTGTCCCAATCGAAATTCCTTGTCACCCGAACTGCGAATACTTATCCATTTAGTTGCATAGATTGTCACAAGTAAGGTTGTTGGAATTATTAGTTCCTGTAGTATTCTCGCATAGCTGTTCACTTTAATGGCCGATGGATACAACGACGGTAAACAACACAATACTCCTGGGTAGAAGATTTTTAACAAAATTGATTGGGAATCCATCGCAGCAGCTTCCAAATTAGATAGTCCTCCACATGCCCGGGAAAGTACTACAGACCCGTTTCTTTCTTTTAGGCTCCCTTACTCACTAATAATACCAGCTTACCCATACAACTTGTAACTGCGTTGGTATACTCGGTTGCTGTTGTGGAAAGTTGTGACTCTAAGAGCCGATCCTGTCCTCTGCTATGTTCGTAATCTTCTGCGGAATTGGCTCCTCCATCTTACCAATCTACCGCTGTCACCCTATGAATAGTGCCACTGGTTCAGCGGACATGAGTTCGATTCCTCGTGGAGCCTGGGGATGCGCATTAGTGACGATTCCTAATATGATCAAATACTTCTGATTCGGATACCGTCCTTATGATCAGAATGACTGATCTCTACCTCAAAGTGAACCGAGATCCCAATAGAGATTGCATGTCGCAATCCAACCACACGGCGGGTACTCTAAATCCAAGTTTTGTCGTTTGGTGCACCTCCCGATGAGCAAGCCAAGGTCTCTCAAGTAGCTAACTGATATGATTTAAGTAACTTGAAAATCCCCATGTAAGTTAGTGAGAACAAGGAGACCGTTTGGTGAGCAATTGCTTTCAATGATTCATCATCAGACCAATACAATCATATATAGGGTTGAAATGGAGAGCGTAAAATCGACCAGTTAGTACAAGTAAGATAGACCGAAAATCGAAAGGAGTTAATTACACGTTACGGTGTTTGACCTCATACCGTTGACCTCAGTCTCCCCCGTTTTCTCGGGCCAGAGCAGCTGTAGAACATGGACTAGCTTCTTTTGCGAGCATAAGGGCGGTTGAAATAATCGAATGCAAATTGCTTCGGCCGTCGCAAGTGTACGAAGACGTTGAGCTTTCGATCGGTGCGGTGGAATCTTTATACAACTCTAAAAGCACGCTTTAGATCCACCTGATGCCCAGTGTCGACAATATATGCCAGAATGGAACTACTAATGGCCCCGGTGCCACCTTGATGTAACCAACGTGGGCAATGGTCATTCAGGCGCTTGGACAAGTGCCGCGCCGTACGACCGATATAGGTTGCGCCACAGGCGCACTCGAACTGATAAGTAACCATTGAGGCGGTCAGCATGGGCAACCTATACTTGTTTCGTGAACGAACGAGTGGCTCAGTCCAAAACACGCACTTTAGCGTAGCTGCTGCGAAGGTCGACATTATTGCGCCAGAAAGACTTCGGGTCAAACGCTCAGTAACTGCGTCCCCTTTGAAACGTAGTCGTATGAATAACTCCTTCTTTGCCGCTATTAACATTGGCACTTGTTTGGGCTTTTCCCCATGGTTTCTTGAAACAAATCTGTCGGGGTATCCATTTTCGTGCAACACATCCTGTATAAACGTCAGTTCCGCATTTAGAGTGTCTTCCGAGCAGATTCGACGTGCTCTCGTGGTAAGACAGTGAATCAAGTTGCGCTTATATCTCAGAGGGACGAAGCTGTGGAAATTCGTATACTGGCCAATCCACGTTGGCTTTCTGTAGACCTGCCGTTGGATTGAGCCGTCTGGTCTCCTAGTTAACAGAACAACAAGATACGGCAGCTGAGCTTCGGTTTCTTTTTCATAAGTAAAATGCAGTGCTGCATGGGCTCGGTTAAAACAGTTAAGAATTTCATCTACGTTAATGTGCTCATCCACCACAAGGAATATATCGTCCATGTACCGATAATAGTGGTTAAAAGTGGCTATATGTGCTCTATTTTGATATTATCTCGCTTTTTACCAACGTCCCGTTGATTGAGACAATAGATTACATTTGCGACTATATAACCCAATCGAAAATAAAAATGTGTATACCTACTCGTGAGCTAAAAAGCCTAATGTTGCGCTGCACCTGGAATGTACAGTTCCTATTTAACGGCAAATACTACCGGTAGAAGGACGGCGTGGCCATGGATCTCCCTTGGGTCCACTGCTGGCGAATATCTTCATGGCCAAGTTGGCGAGAACAAAATTGCAGGCCGATATAGTCACTTTTAACCACTATTATCGGTACATGGACGATATATTCCTTGTGGTGGATGCGCACATTAACGTAGATGAAATTCTTAACCGTTTTAACCGAGCCCATGCAGCACTGCATTTTACTTATGAAAAAGAAACCGAAGCTCAGCTGCCGTATCTTGTTGTTCTGTTAACTAGGAGACCAGACAGCTCAATCCAACTGCAGGTCTACAGAAAGCCAACGTGGATTGGCCAGTATACGAATTTCCACAGCTTCGTCCCTCTGAAATATAAGCGCAACTTAATTCATTGTCTTACCACGAGAGCACGTCGAATCTGCTCGGAAGACACTCTAAATGCGGAACTGACGTTTATACAGGATGTGTTGTGCGAAAACGGATACCCCGACAGATTTATGTTAAGAAGCTTTGAGGAAAAGCCTAAACAAGTGCCAGTGTTAACATCGGCAAAGAAAGAGTTATTCATACGACTACCTTTCAAAGGGGACTGTGTTACTGAGTGTTTAATCCGAAGTCTTTCTGGCGCAATTAAGTCGACCTTCGCAGCAGTTACGTTAAAGTGCGTGTTTTCGACTGAATCACTCGTTCGTTCACAAAACAAGTATAGGTTGCCCATGCTGACCGCCTCAATGGTTACTTATCAGTTTGAGTGCGCCTGTGGCGCAATCTATATCGGTCGTACGGCGCGGCACTTGTCCAAGCGCCTGAATGACCATTGCCCACGTTGGTTACATCAAGGTGGCACCGGGGCCATTAGTAGTTCCATTCTGGCATATATTGTCGACACTGGGCATCAGGTGGATCTAAAGCGTGCTTTTAGAGTTGTATAAAGGTTCCACCGCACCGATCGAAAGCTCAACGCCTTCGTACACTTGCGACGGCCGAAGCAATTTGCATTCGATTATTTCAACCGCCCTTATGCTCGCAAAAGAAGCTAGTCCATGTTCTACAGCTGCTCTGGCCCGAGAAAACGGGGGAGACTGAGGTCAACGGTATGAGGTCAAACACCGTAACGTGTAATTAACTCCTTTCGATTTTCGGCCTATCTTACTTGTACTAACTGGTCGATTTTACGCTCTCCATTTCAACCCTATATATGATTGTATTGGTCTGATGATGAAGCATTGAAAGCAGTTGCTCCCCAGTCTCCGTGTTCTCATTAACTGAGAGGAATCTACAAATTGAATGATCACCTTGCTCACTGATGATTTGTGGCTTCCAGAGGAAGCCTGTGCGCTTCCGACTAAGAGGGCCGACTCCTCTTGTTGATACTGTGAAGATTTTTAGAAATAAAGGAAGTTTGTTACCAAATATGCATAGATTCATGAAGAAAATTCCCGCTTCTACAGTAATTGAGCTACGTTAAGCAGCAGTGTGCCTATTGTTGCTGGAGCAGCCTCAAGCAAGTTTGAGTTGACCAACCGTCTCCAGCTCCTCATTATCCAGAATCAAATGCGACCAAGGTGTGAGTGGTCCTGCAATTACAATTCCAAGGTAAGAAGTACATGATATGTGTTCACCACCTCAGAGTGTTCTTCATGGTTTGACGTTCGCACATCGCGATTGTGAAACAGCAAGCCGATTTCTATACATGCCAGGTCAGCAAGTGTTCCCCCATTCATGTTGCGACCTCATTACAAGGCACTCCACACTAGTCTGTCTTACGTTTGAGTAGAAATTCTATACTGCTGATGTTTCTCCGGCTGGTGATGATTGCCACGAAATTCCCAGTGGACAAATTGCCGGAACGTTGACCTACATGACTCCCAGTCTGTTGCGTAGATTTCGCTGTTAACACCGTGGTCTTCACAGAAAGAACGAACTTCAGAAAGAAACCAAAAGGTACTTTACGCATCAGCCAACGTTTGCTAGT